TGTAATAAATTTTTATCATGCATAGATACCGATAAAACTAAACTAAAATAATTCTAGTTTACTATTACAGATTATTAAAAATAAATACGATAAATAGAAATCACTACATAATTATACATGCCACTACTAGTCAAAAGAAAATTCAATGATTCATATTGATATTGGTATTATAGATGATCTGCACATGATGCTTGGAAGGCTCCTCATAAAACGTTTGTATTTCAATCAAGCCCTACGCATGAAATTCATCACGCGCTAAGTATAACTTAGTGAGGCAGTAATAATCTAAGGTGAGAAAAATCTAAAAATATCATAAACATAAATAAAATCATTCGAATTAAAATATTAAACTGAAAAACCAACTTTTCCAAGTCGATTTCTTCATTGAGACCTGAAATTTCTTTTTAAATCATGAACTCGTGAAAATTCTGATCAATCATATATGATAAAATAAGCATATCATGCTTTCTGTCAACTGGAATTCATTCACAACTTGCATATTCATTTTCATAGCCCAATGCATATTTATGAGAACATAAGATACGTGAGTAAGATGCGCACTATGCACAACACGATGCAAATCGTAACTGATATGGAGATATGATGCACTTCAGTGCCATCATAACCTGAATAAGCACCAACAGTGCTGGACATTGATATGCGAATGTACCAAAGCTGATATGATAACATTGATACACGAATGTACCAAAGCTGATAATGGATAAATACTCAACTAATGGCATGTCAAATGTACCAATATTTCTCACTATTACACACAATGGGCTGACGTATCATAATAATTCCATCATAAAAATATCATGTTTGGGTAGTTCATTCCCTAAATCATTCATAAAACTGATATAAAATATTATAAAAATTCTTTTTATAAACTTTATAAATCATGCAATAAATTGGAATGAGGTTGACTTATCGCAAGTCTTCCTCGATCAAAATAATTAAATAAATAAATGCACTCACCTTTGCCTCACTACATAACTTTTATACAATAATCCTAGTCACGAGCTTTGTCCTTTCCTTTTGGATCGTTCGGATTGCTAGACTTGTCGTAGTCTGACAATACCAAATTATAACACAAAATGTTCGAACTACATATTAGTATCATACTAACATAAGTTGATTTTAACATTCGAAAATATATAAAAATCGAGATTAAATCGATATCAACTAAATAACGTTTCCATTATAATTTCCAACTTCTCGAAAATACTCTTCCAAATTCATGAATATTTATTTTCATCTTTAACCCTTCATCTTTGCTAAATTACACAAATAAGCCACAAATTGTGTATTCTTTTTAGAATTCACCTCAACCTTTCCATTTAATTCATAATGATCCTTCACCATTATGCTCATTGTACATTAAATATAAAAATTCCAGCACTTTAATAAAATGCTCAAATCAATACCTAAACATTTCAAACATTTATAATTTCAACTCAAACTTCCTAACTTTCGATTTTCAACCACCAAACTCAATAAATTTGTAATTCAACTTCAACTTAATATTTAATTCAAATTTCAGAATACTAATAAATTTTCAAGCATTCAATAATTTACTCAAATAATACTTCTTCATTTAAGAACTTGCAAACAAGTCCCCAAAGTTTTGGAACCTTTCGAATTCCACCATCTAACCATTAAAATGAATACTTTTAGAATTCTTCTCAATATTTCCAAATTATTCAAAATGGTCTCTTGCCATTTAACTTCAATTCCAATCATCCAAAAATATATTCAAGCATTTAAACATTACTCTTCAGCTTCTAATCTGTTTCCACTTAAATTCTAAAATTTCCATATTCGAACAACTCGTACTACCTTTAAAGAATCAATATTATGTATTTATATACACACTGGAATTTAATTTCATTTATTCTGTTGAAAACTATACTCGAATAAGAATCAATCCATATAAAGAACTCCTTCTAATTAATTCTGTATAATTTATGGTGAATTTTCAAAGTTGACCAACAAAATCTGTTTTGTGCAGAATCTGCTGCCCGTTTTTCTGACCTTTTCTCGGTTACAAATTCATATATTTTGTATACACCTTGAAATTGATCCCCGTTTAATTTAAACAAAACTAGATTGATATACGAATACAATATATACAAATCACCTCCAAATAAGTTTTATATAATTTCTGATGAATTTTCAAACTAATTGCCAGATTCAAAATTTAAATTGTTTTCATTAATTTGCATCCTTAGGTTCTTCATCAATTCTTACAACACTTCTAATATCAAGAATCAATCTTTAATCATAAAAATCACACTTCCCCTTCATCAATATCTTACCAACTTGAGCATGAAACATGAAGATTTTTATACTAAATGAAAGAGAATTTCATGTCGGTTATTTTATCCTTAATAACGTAACTTAAAATTCTAGTAAAAAGTTGACCCAAAAAAAAACTTCTCACCTTGGCTATGGGTTTCATAGCTTGCTGGAGAAAAGAAGAGAGTTTCAAGAGAATTCTCAAAACATATCTCCAATTATTAGCTTTTAAAACTATTCATTGATATTTTTTATTCCTTTTGGGTCAAATACCAAAATTACCCTTAATAAATCTTGAAATTACCAAATGTCATTATATTATCTTCCATTAAAATATTCTTTGGTCAAATATGAATCAACTTGGCTTTGACTTTCGAATTTGGCTATGCAATTTTCAAAAATTGCATTTTAGTCACTAAAATTCCACAGTTTGGTCAAATCTGAAAAATTACACTGTTCTGAGCCAATTTTCTATGATATGAAATATGAAAATAATATTTCAACCATTTTATAATATCCTTAAAATTTTTGTAAAATTTCAGTCTGATCCGATTATATGATTTCAATACCGAACTTTACCGCTTTATAGCTTTTAACACAAATCCGTACCAAAAATCTGATTCCACTAAAATCTCTGTTTTAATCCAAATTGTTCATTTACAGGCTAAAAATATATATAACTTTTAAAAATTACAATTTTGGGTCATAAACTTTTCAAAGTTTATACTTTAACCACTAATCTTTCAAAACTTACATTTTAGTCACTGGTCAAAATTTGGGGTATTACATATTTATAAAAAACTTTATTTATTTTAAATTTCAAAAAAGCCTCAAAATCCCTAAAATCCCCAAATCCTAACACTAAACCCCCCGACGTAGTCCTTGTCATCATCCTAGTTATAAATCGTCGTAGTTGTCATCAATTAGCCGTCAAAATCGCTTGGGATTGCGATTTTCATCCTAGGGTTTGCGAGGTATAATACATCAATTTATCGTCGATCGATCGTTGATCAATCACGATCTCATAAGGGTTTTGGTCACTGGTAGGAGGTGAGGTTGGGTAGAGCTTCTTCGACGGAAAAGGATGATGGTCGGCGTAGGTTTAAGGGTTGAAATAAAAAATTTCAAAGTTTTTGGGTTATTTTGAAATATATGTGTTTTCTTTTTTTTAAAATATAATTTTATTTTTTTGATTTTATATAAAATTTTAAAATTATCATATTGTGACACGTGTCACTTAACGGAGAAAAGTAATGGTCTGTCACGGCTTGATCCATTTTGAGTAACGAAATGAAACGTTAGGCACCTAACTGAAACGAAATAAACGTTAGGAAATAAACTGAAAAAAGGGCATATGTTGAGCACTTTTTGTATATTTAAGCCCTTTAAAAATTAAGAACGAAAATATGAAAAATAAGACTCAAATCTCATATAAAATTTTCATTAATTTTGAAAATAACACAAAGGATGATCTAAAAGATAAATCAACCTAGGAAATATCATATAATTGATATCTTACCTTGTTGGAAGATGATGAACAAAAATGGTGAAGATTTGATGCAAATTTGAACAGAAAAAATTAAAAATGTTGAAAGAAAATGAGAGAAAAAGACGAGAGTGTTTGAGAGATTTTTGAAAATAATTGACATCGTAATATATTTTTCTTAACTCTATTCATGATAGTTAATAGTTGTCTACAATGACTGATGAACCCCAAATTTTATCGTAAGTTTCAATTAAATCTCCTTATTCGAGTAATTGAATTAGATTCTTAAGAACATCTATCTTGAACCTAGACTTACATTGTCTACTATTTGATAACTAGTGGTGGAACTAAGTGGGGACATGGCCTCTCAAAATTTTTAAAATTCAAATTTATACTTTTTAAATTTAAAAAATAAAAAATTGGGCCCTAGATAATTTTTAGAAATTTATATTAAGTTTTAAAAAAATTTAATGTTCTTAATTAAATTCCTCTAAAAAATTTTCATTAAGCATCTCAAATTTTAAATTTTTTTAATTGGATCCCAATTTTTTTTAAAAAAATATAAACACAACTCTTCAAAATCTTTGAAAATTTTAATTTAAACCTCTAAATTTTTTAAAATTTTAAGTTGTCTCCTCAAACTAAGGGTGTTCAATCGGTTAATTCGCTTGACCGACCGAATCGAATTACCCAAAATTCATTAACCGAATTTTATTTTCCTTTAACTGTTAATCAAACTGAACTAAGTTCAGCTAATTGGTTGGTTAACCAAATTAATCGAAATTTATAAATAATATATATTATTATATATTAAATATTTTTTGTTTATACAACTAATTCAGTTAAAACCGTAGTTTAAAACCCCTAAAACTAAATAATATATAATATATTAAATATTTAATAATTTTAATTGATTAATTTTTAACCGAATTATAAACGCCCATACCTTAAACTTTATCGCTAAATTTTATCACTGTGAATAACCTCTATTTTGGGATATGTTCTTCCTCTCACGAACAATAGTTTATCCATATTCAAATCATCAAATGATTAGTAACAAAATTTGCAATGACCATCACATGTAACAAAAAAACAAAAATTCTAGTAACGCCTTCTAACGTTTATTTGAGATTTAACGACACAGTGATATGATGGTTATAATTAATTACCGAGTTGTAAACTTACTAGAGTGAACATTGGAGTGGTCATGATTAATTCACAGGCCCAGCCACAAGTCTCCTAATAATGAGCATTGGAGTGCTCATCATCGTCTACCAAATACTTTGGCGAAACCACAATTACTTGAGAAAACAGCTGAACACATGGTTGGTGGTGGTGGTGTTCTTCTCTGCAAGTCTCCATTATTAAGCTATGTACAAGCCCTAGTTTATCAAGCTACCGTCTTTGTCTATGGGGAAGCTTGTTCAAGATCTAAAGAATGGATTTCGCCACTTGGTTGAGGCCTTTGCGTCTTGCAAATGTTATAAAGGTAGATCGCTACCATATTATTTTCCCAGAAGCAGGAAAAAAGAACCCCATTAATTTATGCCTTTTACTTTTAGGAAATGAAGATGGTGAAGAAGAACCCAAGATTCAATCTTCTCAGGTAATTTCTTTTTCGTTTTTTGAGTTTTTAAAATCTCTGATCCAAGCGTTTGCAAAATCTTCTCCGGCAAGATTGATGGGTGTTTTTGGATTTGCAGAAGATAAGCATACAAGTCAGAGGCGTGCGGCTTAAAGCTGCAAAGAGTCCAACGAGGCCGACAGTGCCTAAAGGTCCCCCTGCTGCTCAGACCAGCTGATCAATTTCAGATTTCTCTGCTTCATGCTAAACTATAGTAATTGTACTTCTCACACTTTTAAGCTATTCATGTATGTTTGTAGGCTTTGGTTTTTTCTCTCTTAGATCAACATGTTCTATGTTATCAGCTGTTGGATCTTTACTTCTATTTTCAAATTATTTGGCTAAAGTATACAGATAGTCTCAAGATCATATGACATTATTTTATTGATTTCTTAGATTATTAAAAATTATAAAATAATTTCGTGATTATAAGATGTTTTATTGATTCTCTAAATTATTAAAAGTTATAAAATAGTTTCTCGATTATTCATATGTTTTAAATTTTTCTTTTTGTCAAAATATTGCAGTCTTTCGAGCTAGATATAATTTGATGACCAATATATGATTAATCCCATAACCTAAAACAATTTTGGATTCAAATTTTATCTTATTTTAGTCAATAAATTAACGTTCAGTTCAGACGACCGTTAATTTTTTAACAAAAATAAACAAGTTTAAAACATATTAATAGTTAAGTGACTATTTTAATAGTTGAATAACTAAATAAAGTAAAATCCTTTAATTAATAGACTATTTTATAATTTTTAATAATCGATTAACTTAACAAAACAATATCATATAATCACGAACTATGTACTTTATCCTATTTATTTTTACCAATATTCCTTAGCTTTTGAATGGGAATAATATCATTTTGAAGTTATTTTTTTATTAAAATAATAACTTTTTGGTAAAGGTACATCAACGTGGAAGTGTCCGAATGTGTGTGTGTGTGTTTTTTTGGAATAAATATTTTATCTCATTTACATAAATATTATTCATTTCTTTCATTTTTACCTTGGGTGACATCAAAATGAGCTACGTGACTTTCAGAAGATAATTTCATATGGATGTATCTTTGTTAAAAGAATATTGTTAGGGTGTTATCTAGATTAATCTAAAATAAATATAAGATAATATTTATTTAAAGATAACTTTCAATTATTTAACATTAAATACTCATACTTTGATATTTCTAGAACTCAAACCCGAGATCTCAAGAAATAACATCAATTCATTTGCCACTGAAATCACTTAATTTGTGCATAAAATTTAATTATTTAAATAACTTAAAATAATTGATATTTTTTTAAAAAGGTGACCATTTGAGTGAGACAAAAAAAGTTATTCAATCATACAATTGCATCACATTTCACAATATTTAGGCGCAATGCATAGGGAAACAAGCAAACTACAGGGTGCAGTGCCGGCATAGGTAACGAAAAAGAATGGGAAAATTTGACATGCTATACTCCAAATAAAACGAAATTCAATCACCAAATTTATAAACTTTTTTCAAAACTATAACCCTGCAATGGCCATGCCACCTTCCTCCTTTAGATACCCTTCAATTTGTTCCAAAGCCTGACAGAATAGTAATACCATTTAGCCAACATCTTAACAGGATAATACTAGAAAATATATGAGACAGACAAAGAAAAGACCTCAATTGCAATCTCTGTCGGTGTAAGATCCGATACATCTCCATAACCTAGTTTGCCTGCAATTTCTGAATTTTTCGAACACAAGTTTAAAGAAACAATCATCCAGAAATAAACATTAACACCAGAGCAACAAGAGTATGGCCTTGACATAGCAAAATGAAAGCAAGTTGGAGGTAATGAGCATTGATGCACTCGAGACAAGTTTCACTATGCATACCTTCCAAGGAAACCCGGGCATTTGCTTTAGCATAATTTTTACCCCTCTGTTCTAAAAGGTAAGATAGACGTTTTAAAGCCTGTAAAAGGGTCAGAATGTCAAAAACTTGCTAGACCATGGAAACCAAGTCCATTCAAGCAAATAAAACCAGCAACACGTTACCTTTGTATATGGATCACCATGTTCATAATGCAAAAGGGGACGAGAATGGGTACCTACTGCAGCAATTCTCCGTGCCAAGGCTTCCAAAGGTACATCTAACCAGACAATTATCCCCTTCTTCTGCATATAATCCCTGATAAACCAAATAAAAGAGTTTCAGACTTTTATAGATGATGCAACAGATAATCAAATCAATGGAGAGAGAAGAATGTGAATTAGTTAAATTCTTGTTTACCAGTTCTCATCCCGAACAACTGCACCTCCTCCAGTAGAAACAACAAGCTGTTTCTCTGAAGAAAGCCGCTGCAATATCTCAGTCTTGTACACAGGAAGAACATCAAAGATTCAATTCAATTGGAAAAAAAGCACAATATATTATAATGTATCACACATCTTAATTGATAAAGATATCTACTATCTGAAAGCAAAAAATGTATGATGACCAAATTGGTCCTCCAAGCAATCATAAACGACGATCTTAGAATAAGTGATGATAGAGACTTTATCAATTAGCAATTTGTCTAGTGCTTTTCTTTCAGAAATTGACCATCTCTGACTGTGGCCTTCCCTTTGTATTAGTGAAAGTCAGCCAAAATCAGCTTCTGAGAGTTGGTCAATTAGTTTACAGTCTTCAAGCATAGTACATAAAGGCAGATACTGACCCTTGTATCTCCACTCAATTTTAGCTGAAGGAAGAAACAAATAAATAAACCCCCAATTTTAAAAGGTCAAAGAATTCAAAATTTCTGGAGAATACAAATCAAAAAAGGCATGGGAAGTATTGAAACACAAGCAATCTAAAGTCTCATGGCATAGAATGGTCTGGGGCAGCCCTGGCATACTAAGGCATGCTTTCATTACATGGCTTGCAATGCTGGATAGGCTAGCTACAAAGAACCGATTGATCTCCTAGGGCTATCAAATTGACCTTATTTGCATTTTGTGTAAAGAGGGGATAGAGGAAAGAGATCATCCTTTAAATGATCGTTCTTTCTCTAGGGAGTTACGGGGGAAGATATTGCAGATATGTGAAAAGAGTTTAGTTGAATTCATGGAAGGAGCCATCAAGTGTATTGAAAAGTGAGGCAAGGGGGAATCTCTATGTTCTGCAGTTTCAAGAATTGCTTGGAACGCATTTGTGTATTCGATCTGGCAAGAAAGGAATAGAAGGATGCAATAGAACTCCCCAAAACAAGTTCAGACTCTACTGGAACATATTAAATGCTTAGTACAAGATAGATTGATCCGAGCCAATATTGTAGTTAAAGATTCAGATGTATGTAGGAATTAGAACTTAGTTGTAACAGAATAGTTGCTATTAATAAGCTACTGGATAGTCTTGTTTGTAGCAAAGATTTTGAATTATGGAATGAAATGAATACTTATCCAAAAAAAAAAAAACACTCAAACCAACTCAATAGAATAAAAGGCTAATGCCAAAAAAAAATAGGAGACTCAAACACTCAATCCAGAAATATTGCCAAGAAAAATTCCACAATCAACCCTCCAATTTTAGGAAAATGATGTCTTACTTTTCTAATGACTGTCAACACAAGTAATGATTCAAATAACATACATTGAAAATGAAAGCATATGTGGTCTGGAAAAAACTTAAAAAGAAAGCATATGTGCAACAAGTGTGGTTTGCTGACCTACCTCCTTATTTCTGAAGAAACTGTCCCCATAACGCTTAAATATTTCAGCTACAGAGATTCCATCCACCTCCTGCTCTATTAATGCATCACTAAAAAATTTAGAATAAAGATTTTTGTGAGACACAAAAAGGCCATTTAGCCATCTATTACATTGGCAATTGGTAGACAACCAGGAAGGAAAACCACTTCTAATATACAACCTAGATAAACCAAGTCCTTGGATCATAGAGTCTAATATGAATATACCAATGCCTAAATTATTCAATTAATGCATGATTTCATATGCATCCTTAGCTCTTATGAAAAAGACCACTAATTCCACAATACATGCAATAGAGGTCAATTTGCCACACAGAGGAACTAGGAAGCTAAAGAGGAATGTATCCATAGAAGTATCATGTTCGAGAATGAAGACTGAAACTATAGGACTCACAACTAACTAACCATAGTACAAACCTGTCATAAAATGAATAACGGAGTACATTAGACAGAATTTTTCCCACTGTAGTTTTTCCAGAGCCCATCAACCCTGCACATTCATGTTCATAAAGTTTAGCAACCAGAGAAAATAATTCTTGACAAAATAAACTTGAAGGACTTGGCAAAAGAAACTAACCAACAAGATATAGACTGTGCCCATTTAAATATGGCTCAACCTCTAGTGACTTTTTCTGCAAATTTTATTCACATCATGTAAGATGCAGAGGCAGAACAAATCTCAGATGCAGTACAAGTTAGCTTCTGTTTTCAGTGTTAGTGGCCTTAACTAAAAATTATATATATTACCAGACTATGTTGCACGGGGACGGCAGAGGAGGTGTTTCAAGTACCCAAAACTTCCCTGGCATGGGGACGGTATGGGGACGGCCGGGGTACTTAGCGGGACGTACCACGGTGGCAGGGTACGGCCGAACGATACAGGGGACGTTTCAATGCTCGCTGGGGACGTTTCGGGGATGGCATGTGACTAGCAGATGTGTCCCCAGGTTCCATTGACGAAGAAAAGCTCCTGGTTCTGAAAGACAGCCTTGGGGGGTGGTGCAGAAAATTCATTAAGATAAATGATTTGGCAACTTGGATGCACAATGAAGGGATTTTTGGTCCGACTATTATGAGACTTAGTGGGTTAGCAGTCATCATTTTTGAAGATGAAGAGAGCAGGGATAGAGTTCTAAAAAATTAGATGCAGGCTTTGGAAATCTGTTCTGTGAAGGTCGAAGTTTGGTCTGAAAATGTGCAGTGCAATAGCAGACGTGCATGGCTCTCGTGTAAAGGGCTTCCACCGTTTGCGAGGAACCATTCAACCTTTCAAAGCATTGCCAAGAAATGGGGTGAGCTCATTGCTGTCGAAATATTAACTTTATTTATGATTTTTATATCTATTTATAATTTTAAAAATGCCAAATGTTAGGATTTTACTGGTTTGAGTCTCGATATATGACTTTATTTATGATTTTTTATATATATTTATAATTTTAAAATTATTTTATATGGCGTACTCTTGCCGTCTCCGTACCCTGTAATTTTAGAAATTGTTGTTTCCTGTCCCCCGTCTCCTTATCTGTCCCCGTATCCGTATTAGTGCAACATAGTTACCAGAAATAGATGCTGAAACACTAAACGGAAGAGATCAAAACAAAAATAAAGGAGGTATTTAATCACCATATCATATTTTATAAACTAAAATTTTAAAATACTTACAGGGAATGTTACCATACCTTTAACATTAAAGCTTCATCATAAGGCACTTCAACACTTCCGGTTTCCAATGTTGAAGCTATGAAATAACATTTTAAAACATAACATCATTGGGGGTCAATCATATGTATGATAAAATTTTAAAATTCTCAAGACAGTTTAGCCACCTAGGCTTCGAGTTGTATAAGTATTGCTCTCACTTTGGATGATCTCAACCTCAACCAAACATGCTAGTTTCATCCATTGTATGTTACAACAACATGAAATCCAACAAAGATCAAATAACACTATTTTGCAGAGAAGTATGAACATGAAAAGGAGATTGACAACTGATAGAAAGAAGAAACAAGATGAATTATGATCTATGCTCCAAGTATTTCAAATAGTTATCTCAGCAAATTTAACAAAACCTTGCAGCAAAATCTGTACATCAAAGACAATGGACTTTAAGCTCAATAGTAAATTTAAAGTGTCGTTTGTAAAGGTACCCAAATTTTCTTTCCTCCCGATTTTTCTATCCGAACAAGAAAGAAAAGAACATCAAATTACATTCCCTGTCTTCTTTTATTCCAATTTGACCCGTTTTAAAAAATCGAACATATAACGAACAAGGATTCAGAAACAGAGGGCTTTTATAACTGAACCAATTACAAAAATATGATAAACGAAATTATAAACTTGTATATTTATTTATTTATTTTCCATTTAACTACCTGAAAAGTTGTATAAGAAGAGCAGGAAACCTCGAACGAGACCCATCTCTGCCGATTAGAGGATATCTGAAGCGGAAACTGGACCGAAGCAGCCACCCGGACCTTGTGGCCTTGCTTCGCTATCCGACCGAAACGCAAAGAACCGGTCAATTTCCTCCCAAACCTTTCCGACTCAACCCATGTCGGGCACTTCAACTTGCATGCAACTCCCGCCTCCATCGGCAGCCTCCAATCGCCCCTAATTCAATAAAAAAGACTTCCAAGAGATATTTATGCAGAGACAAAGTTAACAAGAGAAATTCAAGGGGAAATTTTAAGAACTTACCTGGATTAAATTAATGAAGAGAGAAATATGAAATTGGGTCTCTTTAATTTAGAATCTATTTATATAGTGGCATTCATCAATTTATAAAGCGGGTATCAAAACTTGGAAACTGAATAAAAACTACTGCGTTTTGATTGTGGAAGGTAGGTGCAATGATGACGTGGAAGCAGCGGATTCTCACCAACCGTTCTCCGGCGACGGGGGTTGGTGGCCGAGCAAAGAAATGAGAAGCAGAAGAAAGGTGAAGAGTTCTTTCGTGCACTTTTTTGTGGGGGTAGTTGTAGTTGACTCACGTGTGGCCAAGTTTTTTTATAAGTTATTTATTTATTTATACAATTTACTATATAAATAAATGGGTAATTTTACATAGAAGTTCTTCGGGGAACACGTCACGGAAATCTTTAACAGTCTGAATATTTTAAATTTGTAACTCTTTGTTACTAGGATTAAGGATATACGTGGAATACGTTTTGTACGACGATCCATCGTCTTACTAGCATCCAACGCCGAAATAACATTAAAAAGGAACTCAGAATGTTATGCAGTGCGGCACTTAAAAAATAGTTAAAAAATAGTATGATCGATTAAAATTTAGAGAAATTATTATATAATTTAACCGAAAATATTATCAAGCAAAATAACATATTAGGTATCGTTTATATAATATAATAGGTAGCGTTTCTATAACAAAATAGGTTAATTACTAGAAACATTATTAAGCACAATAACATATTAGGTACCGCTTATATAATGTAATAGTAGCGTTTATATAAACTAATAGGTAACACTTATATAATAAAATAGGTTAATTACTGGAAACATTATTAAGCACAATAACATATTAGGTAGCGCTTATATAACGTAATAGGTAGCGTTTATATATTAAAATAGGTTAATTATTAATTGTTATTACAACATATTAGGTAAACGCCTAAAATGTTACAAGATAACATAATCGGTTAATTACTAGAAACATTATCAAGTATAATAACATATTAAGTAATGCTTATGTAACAAAATAGGTAATTACTTACTTAATTTATTATCAGTTATAATAAACTTACATTAGGAATAAATGTTAATAAAATTTAAAATACCTATTAAATTAAAATATCTACAGTTTTTTTTTAAGGTTGTTAATAATGTAAATGGTAAAAAAAATAGATGCTACCTATTACATTAAACTATCTACCGAATATGTTGAAAGTATCGATTCCATTTAAATAAGTATCGACACTTTTGCAGTTTAAAAGAAAAGCAGTAATGGCGCCTATAAAGTATCGATACTTTAAAAAAATGTATTGATACTTTACAATATAACAGGTAAAAATATGACAACTATTTTCATTATGACAAAAACAGTAAATTTACCTGATATGTTGAAAGTATCGATCCTTTTATAAAAAAATCGATACTTTACAATATAACAGGTAAAAATATGACAAAACCAATTTTATTATGACAAAAACGGTAAAATTTACCTGATATGTTGAAAGTATCGATCCTTTTATAAAAAGGATCGATACTTTACAATATAACAAGTATAAATATAACAAAACTAGTTTCATTATGACAAAACCGGTAAAATTTACCTAATATGTTGAAAGTATAGATCGTTTTATAGAAAGGATAGATATTTTACAATATAACAAATAAAAATATGACAAAATCAGTTTCATTATGACAAAACCGGTAAAATTTACTTGATATGTTGAAAGTATAGATCTTTTATAAAAAGGAGAGAGACTTTACAATATAACATGTAAAAATATGACAAAACCAGTTTCATTATGACAAAACTGGTAAAATTTTACTGATATGTTTAAAGTATAAATACTTTTTATAAAAATGATCGATACTTTTTTTAAAGTTATGTAATTTATGTTTCAAAATTTTTTAATAGTGTTTTATGTTTTCTACCTACAATATTAATATAATAATTTCATTTACACAAAAAATTATTTGATTGTTTTGATATTTTATAAATATTATTTAGAATTTAAATTTAACAATTTTAACCAAAAATAATAATAAATATTTTATATCTATGTTTTTTGTTTTTAATTTAATAATAATATATTCTGTAACATAAAAAATAAATCATTAGACGCGTATAATTACTAAATTAATATCTTAAATCTCACTCAAAAGATAACCTTAAATTAATATTTTTCACAGTGAAATACCTACCTATTAAATTAAACTACCTATCGGATATGTTGAAAGTATCGATTCCATTTAAATAAGTATCGACACTTTTGCAATTTAAAAGAAAAGCAGTAATACGCCTATAAAATATCGATACTTTATAAAAATGTATCAATATTTTACAATATAACATGTAAAAATATGACAAAACCAGTTTCATTATGAAAAAAACAGTAAACATTATCTGATATGTTAAAAGTATCGATCCTTTATAAAAAAGATCGATACTTTACAATATAACATGTAAAAATATGACAAAACCAGTTTCATTATGACAAAACGGTAAAATTTACCTGATATGTTGAAAGTATCGATCCTTTTATAAAAAGGATCGATACTTTACAATATAACAGGTATAAATATGACAAAACCAGTTTTATTATGATAAAACCGGTAAAATTTACCTGATATGTTGAAAATATATATCCTTTTATAAAAAAGATAGATACTTTACAAAATAACAGGTAAAAATATGACAAAACCATTTCATTATGACAAAAACGGTAAAATTTACCTAATATGTTGAAAGTATAAATCTTTTTTATTAAAAAGATAGATATTTTACAATATAACAGATAAAAATATGACAAAATCAGTTTCATTATGACAAAACCGGTAAAATTTACCTAATATGTTGAAAGTATAGATCCTTTTATAAAAAAAGATAGATACTTTACAATATAACAGGTAAAAATATGACAAAACCGTTTCATTATGACAAAAACGGTAAAATTTACCTGATATGTTGAAAATATTGACCCTTTTATAAAAATGATAGATACTTTATAATATAACAGGTAAAAATATGACAAAACCAGTTTCATTATGACAAAACCGGTAAAATTTACCTGATATGTTGAAAGTATAGATCCTTTTATAAAAAGGATAGATACTTTATAATATAACAGGTAAAAATATGATAAAATCAGTTTCATTATGACAAAACCGGTAAAATTTACATGATATGTTGAAAGTATAGATACTTTTTATAAAAAGGATCGATACTTTTTTTAAAGTTATGTAATTTATGTTTCAAAAATTTTTAATAGTATTTCATGTTTTCCACCTACAATATTAATATATTAATTTCATTTACAAAATTAATTAATTGATTGTTTTGATATTTTATAAAATATTATTTAGAATTTAGAATTTAAATTTAACAATTTTAACCAAAAATAATAATAAATATGTAATATCTATGTTTATTGTTTTTAATTTAATAATAATATATACCATAACATAAAAAATAAATAATTAGACGCGTATAATTACTAAATTAATATCTTAAATCTCTCTCAAAAGATATCCTTAAATTAATATTTTTCACAGTGAAATACCTACCTATTACATTAAACTACCTATCAGATATGTTTAAAGTATCGATTCCATTTAAATAAGTATCGACACTTTTGGAATTTAAAAGAAAAGCAGTAATAGCGCCTATAAAGTATCAATACTTTATAAAAATGTATCGATATTTTACAATATAACAGGTAAAATATGACAAAACCAATTTTATTATGACAAAAACGGTAAAATTTACCTGATATATTAAAAGTAATTATCTTTTTATAAAAAGGATCGACACTTTACAATATAACAGGTAAAAATATGACAAAACCAGTTTCATTATGACAAAAAGGATAAAATTTACCTGATATGTTGAAAGTATCGATCCTTTTATAAAAAAGATCGATACTTTACAATATAACATGTATAAATATGACAAAACCAGTTTCATTATGACAAAATCGGTAAAATTTACCTGATATGTTGAAAGTATATATCCTTTTATAAAAAGGATAGATATTTTACAATATAATAGGTAAAAATATGACAAAACCAGTTTCATTATGACAAAATCGATAAAATTTACCTAATATGTTGAAAGTATAGATACTTTTTATAAAAAATGATCGATACTTTTTTGAAAGTTATGTAATTTATGTTTCAAAATTTTTTAATAATGTTTCGTGTTTTCCATCAACAATATTAATATAATAATTTCATTTACACAAAAAATTATTTAATTGTTTTGATATTTTATAAAATATTATTTAAAATTTAAATTTAATAATTTTAACCAAAGATAATAATAAATATGTAATATTTATGTTTATTGTTTTTAATTTAATAATAATATATATTGTAACATAAAAAATAAATCATTAAACGCGTATAATTACTAAATTAATATCTTAAATCTCACTCAAAAGATAACATTAAATTAATATTTTCACAGTGAAATACCTACCTATTACATTAAACTACCTACTAGATATGTTGAAAGTATCGATTCCATTTAAATAAGTATCGATACTTTATAAAAATGTATCGATATTTTACAATATAACATGTAAAAATATGACAAAACCAGTTTCATTATGACAAAAAGGGTAAAATTTACCTAATACTTTACAATATAACAGGTAAAAATATGACAAAATCAGTTTTATTATGACAAAAACGGTAAAATTTACCTGTTATATTGTAAAGTATTGATCATTTTTATAAATATGACGAAACAAATTTCATTATGACAAAACCGGTAAAATTTACCTGATATGTTGAAAGTATAGATCCTTTTATAAAAAGGATAGATACTTTACAATATAACAGGTAAAAATATGACAAAACCTATTTCATTATGACAAAACCGGTAAAATTTACCTGATATGTTGAAAGTATAGATCCTTTT